GACTCGTATATGTAATGAATTATATTTATATATATATACACATACATACAGAGTGTCCCGTAAGTTTTAGCCAATCGCTTTTTTGTGTAGATAGAGTGGACTAAACTGAGTCGAAAAGTTTTGTATCATTTTACAATTTTTGCAATGATTAACGAGATATTAATTACTAAAAATCGCTAAATATTGGTTTTCAATCATTTTTTACTCAAATACTATCAACTTTACAGAAAAATAGCAAGAGAATAAAAATTGTTTATTTTCTTCTTATAAAGTTCCAAGAATTTTGTCAGAATTTTTTATTTTCTCATGGTGGTAAAAATAAGAAAATACTAGTATTAAAAAATTGATAAAAAATTCTGAAAACATTTTTGAAATTTTATAAGAAAAAAATAAATTTTTTACTGTTTCAATTTTTTTACAAAATTGATAGTACTTGAGTGAAAAATTATTGAAAATCAATTTTTGGCAATTGTTACTAATTAATATTAATCATTGCGAAATAGTAGAGGACTTTTACAATTTTTTGTAATATAATTTCAATTGTTACCACTGATGGACGTAACAGTGCTATTAAACACATTAAATATAGCTAATTGTATAGATACTTAAAAATCGTATACTTACTACAATTCTAAATTTAATTAAACATTTTTACCTTTCTGATCATATATAGTTGAGGAAATTTTTTGTAATTCCTTTGTACCGATTTCTTTGAAATGTTCAGTGGAAATATTTTTTCTCCGTTCTTTAACATCTGATCTATCATCAATAAAAAACTGACCATATTCATTCAGTAGCAAATTTACTTTCGGAATTGCAATTAATTTACAATGTTTTCGCCATTTTTGTAAAGCATTTCGATAACCAGCCCAATCGGGACGTTTAAACAATTCTTCCTTGTAAGGACAGATATCTTTTTGTTTCAGATATGTCGTTAGTTGTGCTAAAATATGTATTATAGTTGAGTAATAATATTTATTTAGTTTAACAATAAATAATTATAAGATAATTATTAATTGATGAAACAATATTGGTAAATTTTTAATAATTATTACGTATTTAATAATATGAATATTCAATTATAGTTAATTAAACTTTTTAATATTTTGAATTATAAAATTACGTTTCGATGGTAATCTTGGCATAGTCACTGCTGGCAATCTCTTATGTAATTCCTTCACTGTTTCTGGCAATGTTAAAAATGCAATAGCCGACAATATTATTCTCTCATTGCAATTATAAACTTTCTCTGGAAATTAAATAATTTTATAATTATTATAAATATATATATATATTATATAATTCTATTAAAAATTACGTTATTAATTCTTTAATTTAAGTTTTAAATAAAAATCTGAAATATACTATATCCCTCTTCACAGAAATCATTTCCCGTTAAGATTCTGTAAATTTCTCGTAGAAAATTGACGCTATTGAATTTGCATGATTTATGTAATTTGTTTATAGTACTCGGCTTTAATTTAAACAACGTTGAAATGACGCCAATAGCTATTAGTGTCGTTTGCGTGCCCTTTGTCTTTGTCTCTTCGTAATCGGTGAGCATTACATTTTCCAATTTCATTAAATGCTTCAACTATGAATTTGTATAATTTAATTTCATAATACGTACAGAAAATTACAATTTTATTTTTAAAAAAATCTCTTAAATACTATTATTGCGCTCAGTCCACATTAAAGCTATTGTACACTATTCTAATTTAAATATAAAAATAAAATATCTCAATTGATAAAATATCCAATATGCACTTTATCAAATAGCACAATAAAATGTATTAAATATTTCGCGGTTTAATTTATTTCTATATTTTTATTAAACGTACATCTTTACGATTTTTGTACAACGTCTTTAAAGTGCACTGAGTGCGTACTAGTTCTGCCAAAATAAAAAAACGCTATAAGATCGAAAGATAATATTTTACTTAATGAGAGAATGAATTGAGCTATAATATTTTACAGAAAACAATCTTTTATAAACAACATTTTAATGTTGAACTTTATTTATCGAAACAAAATTTGTATGAGATCACTCATTTTTACGTTCATACTTGATCCGGGGAAAAATCTTGGTACCATCGTGGATATTGCATCAGTTTTAATAATTTCTTATCTATTGAAGAAGTAAATAATATTATTAATATATTAATTTAAAACACACAGTTACAGATTTAACGTTAATATAATATTTATATTACACTTTTTCTAAATTGAATCCTTTTTTTCTCTTATCTTTATTATTCCGTCCAATATCAAAATAATATAAGCATTTATACGAAATAAAATAAAATTAAGTAATCATATTTTATTTATATTACATTTGTTAAATATTGATCCTGTTGTAATGCTACAGTCTTAAATTTAGTTTAATAACGATTGAACGCACTGAGTACACTAGTTCATATTAAAGCCGTTGTACAAATTGACGTAAAAAAGTGTGTTTAATATAAATTTAAAAATTGGTTAAACCATAAAGTTCTCTATACATTTTATTGTGTCATTAAGTAAAATATATATTTTATAATTCGAAATATTTGCATTTTACTTTTACACTTAAATTAATCAGTGTACAAGGGCTTTAATATGCACCAATGTTCATTAATGCATTCAAACGAATTTGCTCTTAATCCAGTCTTGTATTTTTGCTGTTAGAGACTTACTTTTCTTCTTGGCTATGTTTATCGCCTTGTTGTTTGCCTCCTTATAAATTCTTTTCTTTTTTGCCCAGAAAATATTTTTTCCCAATGCAATTTCATCTTCTAGATACTGCTTTATAAAGCGATTATTTTTGCTGATCTGCAAATAATTTAATTCACCGTTCTTTAATGGTTGTTGCTGTTCTCCTGCAGCTGACATTCTTGTTTTGGTTAGTCTCTTTCTCTCCTGAGAAAGTCGGGACATGGAAAATTTTATTTGCATTTTAGCCACCGGACATTCGTGCACAGAAGTTATTGCCGTTAGTGAAGATTTATAGGGTGGCTTTCGTTGATCGTATCGCGAAAGAGGATTGAAACGATCCAGAGAACAACAAAATTTGAACGGCTTCAGCTTTAAATTCTTCTTTGGCCATTTCTCTCGAAAAGCAGGGTTCAATAAATAATTACTTTTTCTTTTTGATGTCGGGAAACTGGATAAGATATGAAGATTATCTGATTGGTGTTAACAGAATTAAATTAACATAAATTACAAAATTAATTAAAGAAAAAAAATATCTTTACTAAAAGAAAAAATAATAAAATTAAAATTATATATAAAAAAATTTCTGTTAATGTGACTTTATGTAATTAATAATTTCTACATAATAATTTAATGTTTTATTTTTAACGTATTGATTGTTTACTTTAAAGGTTGGAGCGGAAGTCTCGTGTTGGAAGTCTTTAAAGAAGTTTTAAACATTTTTGAAGCAAAGAACTAAATTTTTCTTTATTAATAAACTATAACTATTTTGGGATTAAATTAAATTTTGTAATTAATACTTGTAAATTTATAAATGGTTACAGGAAACGTGATTAAAATGTAATAGGTTATGTCCGAATGAATGAAGTTTGAGTAAATTCAGAGTAAAATTTCTACTTTATTTTGTTTATAACTGTAGCTTACTTTAGACGATTTACAATTTGCATCAAATTTTAAGATCAAAATTCCTTTATAATTTTTTAAAGATATAATGAACATAATAACATTCTTATTAATTGTTTCTATTAATTATTTTATTTTATATTATTATATAATTTATTTATAATTTCTTAATTACTATAACTATAACCAAAAATGAAAATATTTTTCATATTCTTGTATACTTTAAAAGGGAAGTATGATGCTAAATTTTCGAAATTAGCAGACTACATTTTCAGTTTTGATTTTTTAGTATAAAAATGCGGAACTTTTCTTATTTTTATAAGAATAACTGTAGAATTATGAAAAGTACTACTGGAAAGTACTACTGGAACTGTCATTATCTTTTTTTTATTAATAGAATATTCTGTTAACTTCTGCACAGTATTTTATATTTGATGATTAAATACGATCTTAAGATTATATTATATTTAGCTATAATGACAGTAGAAATGCTTTTAACAATCTTAAATGAATATTTGTATATACTGCCCTAATAATTTTAATTATTTTAATAGATTTGCAAAAAATTAAATTATTGTGCACACACACACACACACATTCCCTGGAAAAAATGTTTCATGTATAATTATATCAAATTAAAATGTCCGTCTAAAATATCTTGCTTTTGATAATACAAGAAAATATCAAAGGAAAAAGGTGTTCGATTTGAAGAGGCATATATTATGATGAAGATTATATTTTTTTTTTTGAGATACTTTAAGGTTTACCTTTACTTTTTTAAATAGAATTGTATAATTTTTTTATACAATATGATTCCTTTAATTATTCTGAATATAAAAGTATTAAGATAATGATATATATAAAAAACCAATAGTTCACGAGATATTTTTTCCAGGGAATGCACAATAATTCCAGTACTACTTAGATAGGATCGCGCAGTCCTACGTACTAGTAGTGCTCAGTAGTACTTTTTTACAAAGGGTAAATGCTTCGTAAAACCAATTTTTATATTTTTGTTGTCACTTGTACATTAAATATTATATTAAATATATTTAAATACATAAATATTAAATATATTAATTATATATTAAATATATAAAATATCTATTGAATATATATTAAATAGAAATTATATAATTTTTATTGTACTCTCTGATATCTATCTAACAATTTAAACACATACAGATAAATGAGAGTAATACTGCGCGGTTTTTGATGCTCCAAATTACTAATTTAATTTATGTTTCTATTACACCCGATCTATTTGTTACTCGACGTACGATGATTGTTACTGACGTTACTGTATTGTTACGTAGAAATTATTTGTTCGAATGTTTTGATTCCTTCCGAACCATCTTCAGCGAGATAAATTCCAGCGTATCCGTAGACAAAGTTTTTATAAATAAACCGGATGTGAGCCTCTTCAACTTCTTGATTGAAAGTGTGTGACATTTCTTGAGAGCGTGTCAACAATCAGACATCGGAATTCTTACACCATGCATATCAACATCATACAAAAGTTTCAAAATATTGACAAGATAATTCGGAAAGTACTTTATAAAAAATAACTTTAATGTAGTGTTTTAAAAAGCTCTTGACACTAGTTATTAAATTCTGAAATCAAAAGTAAAATATAATTCGCTAAGGTCAAACTGAATGAGTAAACAGATCTTTTTGAACCTTACAATTTTTGTCTAAAGCACTTTTCTGTAAAACTTATATTTTCAGACATTTTTGAGACACCCTATATACCTATATTACACGCATATTATATATTATTATTATTATTATTATTATTATTATTATATACATAATAAAAATATTAATTATTATTTATTTATAAATTTATAAATTATTATTTAAAGTATTTAGAGTGACATTTATAAAATAATTGCAGTAGGTTATATAATTTTGTATTTATATTAAAATGCTAGTAAAGTTTTTCTGCAGTTTTTCTTTGTATTAAATGCGTTGATATTTCTGTGATAAATTAATTCAAGATTAATAAATTTAATTAATTATTTTTCTCCGTAAAAAAATGTAAAATTTATATTATAGAAAAGTTTTTTTGATATTATTTGTATCATTTTTTCTTTTTTTCCTAAAAAATCTAATGATATTCCTTTTATTATAATAATTTATTACATAGATTTGTACTCAATAGTGTTTGCTAACGCTCCCTTTACTGCGCATGTACAAGTATCTCGTCGTTCTTTCAGAACAACAATGTAGTTGGGTACAGTGTTGTGCGTAGTAAATGTACGTATGTGACTGTTAAGCAAATGTAGCTATCACTAGCTGCTATCACTGAGAATAGTGATGTTTGGCAAATTTTTGTTTTTTTAAATGATTCACTACTAGATACTCTCGATCGCTTAGTATTTATTCATTGGTAAAGAAGTATATCAGTGTATTTTTCCCCCAAGAGTTTTACTTTGCAGTTGCATGTACATTCTCAAGAATTCGCTCGAATATTCTAATGCGAAGTGTTGAATAAAAATGTTTCGCAATATGCTTAACATTAATAAAATAAAATTAATCAAGTGTGTGTAAAACAATGAATAATGTTACATGAAATACAATATATCTGAATTAAATTTATGGAAAAGACAAACACACTCCATGTGAATGAAATATACTCCAATTTTCTTTTCTTTCCTTTAATTTTCTTATAATATTCTGTAAAGATTAAATTGTCGCGTATCTTCATAGAATTTAAGAAGATTGCAAATCGCCAATGTATTTTGCTCATGTTGAGGTAACATTAATCTTTCTTAGTCAGCAATTTGACTAATCTGATGCGTTATCTACTTGAGCCAATTCAAATTCATTTAAGAACATTATTCACATTTATCTCTGATAATACGCAGAGATATTTCTTTAAAAGTGCAGTAAAACTGTTGGATGCAGTGCAATCGTCAAGAGTTTGCAGAATGCCAAAGGAAACAAAAATCGTGATCGTTGGAGCAGGTGCAGCTGGCATTGCTGCTGCCTCGAGATTATTGCAAAGAGGAGTAAATGATTTTGTAATATTAGAGGCCAGTGATAGGATCGGTGGCAGAATATATACTAAAGACTTTGGTAAATAATAACCTTCTAAATTGGTATTGAATTAATGAAAATTTAACTTTGTATATTATCTTTGATATTGAAATAGTTCCAATTATATATATATATATATATATCTTTCAAACTTTGGATGTTTAAGAAAATTTTTAATTTAAGCATTTTTTAATATTCTCAGGTGAAAATGTGGTAGATCTCGGAGCTCAATGGGTTCATGGAGAATCTGGAAATGTAGTGTTCGAACTTGCCTCCAAACATGATCTACTAGGTTCATTCGCAGTTCTGTATGATTCTAACAAACATGAATTTGTTACCATTAATGGTGAAGTAATGCCCAATGATGAAAGTAGCAAAGCTCTGATGATTTATCATAATAATTTGGACAAAGTGAAACAGGAAGAATTCAAAGAGGAAAGAGGATCGTTTGGAGATTTCTTTATAAGAGAGTAAGTACTTTTGTTTTTATCTAAGATTAAGAATATACAATTAATTAAATATAATATAAACTAATTAAAAAGTAAGTCAAAGTATAAACATATTTATTTATTTTGTACACAATATATTAACAATATCAGTAATACGTTATATGTTAAAAGATCTTTCAAAAGTTTGAATTTTTAACAATTGTTCATAAAATTTTTGTATTTGTTAAACCTAGAAGATGTTTCTTCATATTTAACTTACAATTAAATTAAAATATTGTTTACTATTAAAAAACTATCAATATTACAGATTTTAGAAGTTTTTTAAAAACTAAGGTATCAAAAATTGCTCATACAATTTTTATTTTTTCGTAAGTTTATAATAGTTTTTCCATATCAAATTTTATGGAAGAGAATATTATTCACAAAACCATCGATATCACTTTCACGAAACCATGCTTGTAATGTAGGATGTAGATTCTCTCGCACAATCGTATAAACATCTTTATCAGGCACGATACATCTGATAATATAAACAAGAGCAAATAAACAAAGATAATTCTACATATACTTATATTAATCGTAAAAAAATGATATTCTATCACAAATACTTAAAAATTATCTGTTAAAAATTTGTTATTAAAGACTTATCAATTTATATGTACCTCACACGATTGTTGCAACATTGATTCCTTACGTATTCATATCTTAATAAAGAATATATGTATTTTAAGTATTTTGTATCCAAATTATGCAGCTGTTCATACGTTTTTATAGGGTTATTGATTTTTTCGATGTACCCTTTTGTCAGTATTGGTATAACATAATCGACCTAAAAGATTAATTTATAGTACTTAATAACAGTTGATGTTAAAAAAATGACATAATTATAAAAATAGCAGTTCATAAAGAAAATTCGATTCTTCTAAAATTTGATTCTCCAGAATAGAAATTGGACAAAGGGTTTCCCCTTTCATAAAAATTGTAGCAAAGTTAAGAAGTCGAAGTTTACATAAAATTCTAGGAAGCCAGTATTTGACTTGGGCTATCAAAAAAGAGAATTTACCTGCTTGAAACAGTCGTCTATGAATTCTTCAGCTCGACTATAGACTTGTTTTTCTTGCTCTTGTAATATAAGTACACCGATTCGTGGTTGTTTAGACCTGAATATCTTCGTGATGCACTCAGCAGTTGGCAAACCGTCATTAGCAAACGTCAACATAACTATACAGCCATACGTTTGTTTATGCTGATACGATACAAAATATAATAAAAAATTTTTAATTAAAAATCTTGTTCTTTGAGCTCTTAAGAAAAATCTTCATAGATATATTAATCAGTTGAGCAACCTGTTTTTGCTGACTATCTTGTGGTATGTACATTGATTCACTTTCTTTCATTTTATTTTTATATTCCACTGTTAAAATTGGGCTCAGAACTAATGGTGCTTTTGGTATATGTCCAGGTTGAATTATTTCAGGTCCTAAATATGTATACAAAACAAATAATTAAGCCTTAGTATGCATGATTGGATCATTCATGATTTGCTCAGTTCTTTTCTTCGAAAAACTAGGAGCATCAAGTAATTATAACATTTATATACAGTTTTTTTAAACACACATCTTTATATAAATATTATACTTTCTAAAAATATTGAAACATGTGTAAGAATTTTTGTATATTATTTAAGTGTTCATTAAAATGATGAAAATGATGAAATTAATCCGAGACACAAATGACTTATTGGTGTAATAAAAGATCAGAAAATCTCATCGTGTGTACTAAAGGTTAATATAATTGTATATAATTATGACATTTGTAAATTCCGAATTTGTGTATGTGTGTGTGAGACTCATGATTTATTCTGTAATGTCAGAGAAAGAAATGTTACTTTACATTACCATGGCTTGTGACATGTTGTGACACAGCATTGACTAGATCATGCACATAAGCCTTAATCTGATTTATTATATCGAGTCGTTGCATTTTTTGCAAAGCACTCAAAATTTTGTCTATTGTTGCCTCTGGAGACTGCACATAAGCCAAAAGCACGTAATATGTTGGATCTTGCAGTCCTTTGAAATCATAATCTATGCACTAGACAACAAAATGACATTATAATATTATACTTACATTATTATTATACAATAATATGTATATGAATTAGCTTGATTCATTGTATGCATATTTATTACTTATTATAATTGTCATTTTTCTGATAATCTTACACGAATCTGTTCCATTGTTAAGCCCATATGTGCTGCGAATTCTTGCCATCCATTGTAGATCTTTCCTGTTGCTGTAGAACTCAGCAACAAACATAGTTTTTGTAATGTAGCTTTACCAATATGCTCGAACAAATATGCAGCATGAATGCGTGATGATTCTGTTTGAATATTCACAATAGTCATATCTAAATTTGGTGGTCCATCCACTTCGTTTCTCAGTTTCTCCAGCTCTGGATCTACTTTCCTAGAATTGTATTTTTCATTGAACGTTCGCATTTTCTTTAAGATGACACATCCATTTGCACATATTATTTATACAACTAAAAATTTTGAATTTGTAAGAATTCAATCTTGTTGATGGTAACAAAAAGTAAAAATAAGTTATGATTATAAAATTAATAATATTCAGATAGTTACCTTTTTGCAAACATCTTGCTAAGTTTTATTAGCAAAAAAAGTTGGGTTGTTGCTGCAAGTATCAGTATGATTTGATTGCATTACCGCTGTGTTTACTTCTGCAATAATTTGCAAAGACATGAACATGATATATTTCCATGCTTGGGATATTTAAAGATCTATATTAAAAAATAAAGATCTAAGTTGAATAATTTAGCTCAGTAAAACATCACAATTGGAGGCTATGCTTTCTTTGTATGTGACAGAATGATTGCAACATGCTGCTGGTGTCAGTCTCCCCACCACAATACAGTACAAGATTGATGATTCATTCTTACTTTTTACCCGCCTAAAATTTGAATCAGAAAAATGTGAAGTATACAAATTCTTTAATATGAGTGCAAAGTTAATAAAATATAGAAGTAAATAATAGCTTAATACTTATTAATAAAAGTTAAAAAAAGAGTTTATAGCCACAACGCTAGTTAATCGTTGCGATGTCATATATTTAAAATTATCATTACAAATTAAAATTCATAAACGTTTCGGCCAACATTTGGCCTTCTTCAGTATGTTTTACTATATAATAATAAATTATTTTAAGTCGATTAAAAATTATAAGAGATTAAATCTAAATTTAATTCAGTCATTATAGCGTGCAATGATGATTAATATACAATGTTGAGTGAAACAGAATAAACGCTCTTGTGAAATGATTGATTTTTGTGTTGATTTTACAATGTTGGTCTGCTATTAATTGTAAATCCATGTAGTACAAAATTTCCAAGTTCTAATTTGAACATGATTAAATTGTTATAAAGGATTTTTTTAACATGATTATAACAATAGTATTAACAATTACTTAACATATCTGTACTAGTATGAAATAGGAATTACAATTATCCACTATTTATATTTGCTAGAAAAATTGAGAAGGGGAATTTAGAAGAATGGGAAGGAGGTTATAAGCAGGGGATTATTCGATAATCGATTGATTAAATAAGCAGAGTGATACCGATCAATTACCGGAATTAAATTTGCTTCTATTAAACGAATAATCCCCTACTCACAGCCTCCTTTCTACTCCTCTAAATTCCCCTTCTCAATTTTTCTAGCAAATATAAATACAGAAGGATAAAACACAGATAATCAAAAATTCTGTTAACAAGTAACATAGAAGAAAGACTCTTCCATCCTTAAAAATAAAATTAAATTATAAAGAGTGGAAAATTGTCAGTGGATAATTGTAATTCTTATTTCATATTAGTACAGGTACGTTAAATAATTGTTAATATTATCATTATATAATCACTAAAAGAATTTTTTATAACAATTTAATTACGTAAATTCAAATTAGAATTTGGAAATTTTGTACTGCATGAGAATTTGCAGTTAATAACAGATCAACATTGTAAAATCAACAAAAAATCATTTCACAAGAACGTTTATTCTGTTTCATACATTCAACATCATATATTATATTAACTGATTATCGCATACTATAATGACTGAGTTAAACTTAGATTTAATATCTTATCATTTTTAATCAATCTTGAAATAATTTATTATTATAGAACATACTGAAGAAGGCTGAATATTGGCCGAAACGTTTATAAATTTTAATTTGTAATGATAATTTTAAATATAGGACATCGCAATGAATAACTAGCGTTTTAACTGTATGCTCCTTTTTTAATAAAGTTAATAATTAATATACATTTAATAGCGTAATGAAATAATATAACAAATGAAAAAGAAAGATAAAAAAATTATAATCTATTCAATTATTTTGTACTTATTTAATATTTAAAATAAAGTGCTGCTTGTATATAGATAGATAATATAAATGGAATGTTGGATTGATATTATGATAATACATTATAATTAATATAACAAATTTAATTATCACATTAACGTTGTAGATATTATAAAGCTTTTGATACAAATCCTTTCACGAATCGTGCTCGAGTTGCTGAATATTTATCTTGGATAGAAAAAATGGAAAATTCTATACAATGTAGTGACACATGGTTTGATATTTCCGCAAAACGTTTGACCGAATATCGAGAATGCGAGGGCAATCTTGTGTTGAATTGGAAAAACTATGGTTATAAAACAATTTTTGACCTGTTATTGGTAAGAAATTAATAATACTGGACTGGAAATTGAAATGTATGGAAATGTTTTCAATAATTTTCGATTTTTGTATAACGCTGAAATTGAAAATAAAATTTAAAATATGTATATTGCATCGAAAAGAAATAGTTCGTAATTGCTATTTCAAAATTAAATTAATATTGAAATAC